ACCGGAAAGTTCAATTTTGGTAGGGGGACCAAACATACAGATAAGGAAGCAGACGGAGACGAATATCGTGAGCCTGTTACTTATACCAATGAAAACCTTAGTCAGTGGCAGCCGATGCTTAAAAGGAAAGAGGCCTTGGTTTGAAACCCATAGCAATTTTGAGCCTGAGAGGCCGGACTGGTCCAAAAGGTTTAAGAAAGGGAGGCACAACAGCGAAGGAGATCTAGCTAGAGGTGGGATTTTGCGCTGACGATACAGGTAGCTATACCACTATTAAAGTGTTACTATGTAGACAGAAAGAGATGCCGAATAAAAGGGGGAGACAATATTGTGAGCTAAAAAGCTTGGTAGTGGAGCCGAGAGGCGGTACTCAATCAGAGACCGAAAATTTCAATTCCGGTAGGCGAGACCAGGCATAAAAATAATGAATCAAACGTATACGAGTATCCTGAGGCTGTTACTTATACCAATGAGAACCTTAGTCGATGGCAGCCGATGCTCAAAAGAAGAGAGGCCTTGGTTTGAGACCTATAGGCATTTGGAGCCTGAGAGGCCGGACTGGTCCAAAAGGTTTAAGAATGAGAGGCACAGTATGAAAGAGAATCTAACGAGTCCTAGGATGTTGCGCTGACGTTAGTGGTACCTATACCGCCATTGAACATTTGCGATATGGACGAAAAGTGAGGCCAAACAAGAGCGGAAGACGTTAATGTGAGCTAAAACGCATGATAGTGGAGCCGGGAGGCAAAACTCAATCAGAGACCGGAGGTTTCAATTTCGGAAGAAGTCCAAACATTCTGATAACGAACCAGAAGTAGACGAGTATCATGAGGCGGTTACTTAAACCAATGAGAACCTTAGGTGATGGCAGCCGATGCTCAAAAGTAGAGAGGTCCTGGTTTGAGACCTATAGACATTTGGAGCCTGAGAGGCCGGACTGGTCCAAAAGGTTTAAGAATGAGAGGCACAGTAGGAAAGAGAATCTAGCGAGGCCTGGGATTTTGCGCTGGCGCTATGGTTACTTAGGCCACTATTGAGAATTTGCGATATGGACCAGAAGTGGTGCCGAAAAGAATATGCGCAGCGGGGTTAAGAATGAGGGTGGCATAGAATAGGCAATGATGAGGCTGAGAATGTAAACCTCAACGTTCTAGAAAGAACAGTAATTGCATTAATTGGGTCAGAGTGATGGAAGTCCTGAGGCAGCCTCGTTTAGGTGGGATAGAAAAGCCAAAGGAGAGCAGACGTGCAAATTATATGGTATCAGAAACAGCTGTTATGCGAGGTTAAAATGAAGTAAGTGACTGTTGAAAATAAAGCATAAAAATGGGATGTAGGCTTATTCGCTAGAGGTTGTTCGGTCCTGTCTCCCATAGCTCGTCTTGCGGCACTTTGAGACTTAATAGTTCGGAGACTGCGTTTACTTCGAGGAATCTTTTGTTTAAGCTTTTTTTGTTTAAGCCTGTATTGAAACGTAAGGTTTTTCTTTAACCTCCGTAGCCACAGCGGGTCTTATCTCAAATGTGCGCATCCACTACTGTACTTCAGCATGTTTGAGCCTAGTAAAAGTTTGGTGAAGGAACGCTGTAAGTTCTCCAGTGCAATCCTGTCGCACTTGCGTGAGTTCGTAAGGACTACAGAGAAGTATTCAAGAATAGGCCTAGCGCATGTTTTATGCAATGTCAGTCGAGATTCCAACATCGACATGGATTTGAAGATCAAGCCTATTAACGACCTAGCTTTAGCTGCACTATGGCTTATTTGTTCCGCAAAATTGAAGGTACGAGAGTATTGAACCCCCAGATCACGTACAAAGCGGCTGACGTTAAGGGGAGCGCTACTGAGAGTAAGGGTATTGGGTGGCACTGTGCATCTATAAGAGAGCATGCTGCGATTTCCTGAGGAAAATTCGAGATTCCATATTGCGCACTAGTTTTCTAGTGCCATAGGGTCTCTTTGTATTGTGAATATGTTATCTCTCATATTATCGGAGATGAAGGAAACTACGACTGTCGTCCGCGAATAGGTATAGCGTTCCCCAGCGGAAGACTTGGAAGATGTCATTGACGTAGAGTAAGAAGCGCATGGGGCCCAGCACACTTTCTTGAAAGACTCTGCTGGTGACCGCTTTTCTGGAGGACGTCGTGCCGCCCAGGCACACCGATTGTGTTCGATTTGATAAGTAGGGTTTAAACCAGGAGAGCAGCCTCCCGGCGATGCCACAGGAGGCGAGTTTGGTCAAAAGTTTCAAGTGTGGAACGCGGTCGAGTGCTTTTTCATGTCGAGGAAGATGACGACCACTTTATGCCCTAAATTTATCGCATCAGTGACGCTGTTTAAAAACTTAAACATACAGGTCTGGCAGGATTTCCCGGGCAGGAATCCGTGTTGAGACCTATTAATGAGATTACGAGGCAACTGATAGTTAAGAATTTCTGCTTTTACCAGCCTCTCCATTACTCTTGATACGATGGGTGTGTGGCTGATAGGCCGATAATTGCCTATGTCAAGACGGGATCCTCGTTTATATCGTGGTAGGACTACGGCATGCCTCCAAGCAGCGGGAAAGATATGGGTTGTCATGGAGAGTGTAAATAAATAAAGGAGGAGAACTGGAATGTCTGGACCGCCTAGTATCAGCACTACGGATGGAATGCCACCGGGGCCGGGGTATTGAGACATTTTGAGTGTACGTATATCACGCATGATTGCGCGTAGGTTGAATTCGATGCTGGTCAGCCTATCATCAGTAAGCAGGGGTGCTGTAGGCGATGTCGTCCAATCCTTGACCGAAAAAGAGTTGCAAACGTGCTTGTTGATATAATCACAAAGTTGGGCGGGGTCGGCCATGAGATTGCCAATAAGAAGTGATAATGTAGCAATTGTTGAAGCGCTGTTGTTTGCTCTGCGTTTCATCAACTGGGAGTGCGCTTAAACTTTGTTGCTACTGCTGAGTGCAGCGTGTTCCGGTGATATGGCGGACGCGGCTTGCAGGTTTCTCCACCTTGTTAGTGTGTCGTTCATGCGCATTATTATGTGGAGATCCTTTGTCTTGTTGTAGCTGGAGCGCATTTTTCTCAATTTGTTTAGGACTCTATGTGTATCAGCTACACCCTTCGGTTTCGTAGGTTTCCTTACGTTCTGCTTAGGAGCGACCACGTCAAGACAGAACATAATGTGGTTATATATCTCTTGGGTCGCCATATCTGTGTCTGTTGCCAGAAAGAAGGCATCCCAGTTAAGAGATCGTAAAAGTGTGGAGAAAATTTCCCACTCGACGCGTTGTAGAGGACGGAAGAAACCGCCGGGTGAGAGGTTGTAATGCTTAGTAGTGGGCAGTCTGAATGTTAACTTCACTACCTTATGATCACTACCAAGGAGGTTGTCAAGCACACAAACTTGTGCTTGGTTGATGCCTTTCGTCATTATTAAGTCAAGGACATTAGATTTCCTGGTACGTAAGTTAACATGTTAAGTCCAGTCTTTTGCGAAGATAAGGTCGACAAATGCTTTATACTTGGGAGATGAGGACTGGGTAGACCAATCAACGTGCGGCATATTAAAGTCACCGTCGATTATCTTAAGGAGTGCAGGTAACAGCAAGACTTTGGTGAAGCGATCGACCAATTTTTTAATTTTACCTGTTGAGATATGCGGCCGGTTGTAGACGCAGCCAATGAGGAGGTCTAGGTACTCACCCTCAGCCTGAATCCATATAGTCTTCCTGGTTACCCAAAGATATGACTTGGAAGGAGGATTCATGAAGGTCTTCGCTGACGTAGATGAGGCATCCTCCGCCCCGTCGCTTAGCGTGCCCACTGCAGCATAATGAGTAGCCAGGTATTTGGATAGGTGAGTCAGCCGAACTGGCCGAATGCCAAGCCTCTGTGATTAGAACCAGTTGTGCTTTGGACATAGTAACAAGAGGACCCAGAAGGTGATTCTTTTGATTCATAGATCTGGCGTGATGAGAAGCATATTGTGGATCCCCAGCTTACTAGATTTGTTGAAGTGGGACGTAGTATGGAGTGTTGGAGCATCTCTTGGTGGATAGCTATTGGTTGAATTGCTGAAATTTTGTGAACCGTCTAGCAGAATCACAGGCAATCCAGAATGTGGTAAGGGGCTTATTTGCATGCATGCGCGGAGATGCATGCCGGGTAGGTCGATGGAACGTAATGGGATAGGTTAAGAGTAGCGTGGAGCATCGAATCCGAGGGGAAGGATGTGGGGGTAACTGATGATGCGCACGAGCTGAGAGATCTAGCTCGTAGTCGGTCATGACTTTGGCGTTTAGAGAGGCCGTCCGATTGGCTGAGATAGGTTGGTTGGAATTAGTTTGGCCATGTCCAGGAATCGAGTCAAGTGGTAGAGAGCCGCTGCTTGACTCTCGCAAGCTAGGAGAGAAGGCACGCAACTTGCGGCGTTCCATAAAAAACGGACCGGGGAACGTGTGGTCAGGGTTCGTGGCGTTATGGTGTGTTGATGACGGAGTGTCGACTGGCGTGATGGGATGAATGGATAGGGGAGCGGGGCATGTGCGGAATTCATCAGTTCGTTGCGCCCATGCGGGTTTCGCCCTGGTGATATTGCTGTTTGGTCAACAGTGTATCGAATTTTGCGAGGGGCCTGGAAGCGCACGACGGGGCTTGGGGGTCTGAGTAGGTAATTCTTACGTTGCGGCCGCTCAATATTGGTTGTCGCTAAAGGAGATTTCGCTTCATATCTTGGGAGTGAAAGCCTAGTTTTGCCCTCATGGTTTTTGTTGGCTATATTTATATGGTTGGTCCAGACGACGTATCTTATCTGGCTTTGCCCGTGCAGCATTGCAGTTTGGCCGGTAGACAGGTGAAGCATATGTGGGGTCTGGTTACGCATCATGGGGCTTGGGGTTCTAAGTAGGTAATTCCTACGTTGCGGCCGCTCAATCCTGGCTGTAGCCTGTCTTTCTGACTTCGCTTCGTAACGAGGGTATGGAGGCCAATAGGTGTTCGGACTATTTTAGAGGGTTGCCTATTCCGGGAGCCCAGAGAGCGATTCGAGAAGACGGATCGAGTTGCAGGGAAACTTTATTGGTTCAGCAAAAGATTCCCTGTTAGCTAGCTATAAATGAACGACACCGTGGACGCTCTAGCTAGGGGAACGGATCAAGCACAGCACACAGAGCAGTCGCGCGTTGCAACCGAAGCGAGCGCCAAGCAAAAATGGCGATGAGCAAGTAAAGCATTCGAACTCAGCAAGCAGTTCAACAAACCACACCGGTTGCCTAGGTGTACAATTAAAGAATTTTGGTTAGAATTTTACACAGGCAAACCGGGGAATCTCCAGACTGCTACATAGCCCTCTCCCAGAAGGGACTGTGTAAGCAGTCCTTCGATCTACGTGAGGACTGTCCGTCGCGGGCCAGCCTTCTGCGAGACCAGGTTGTGAAACCCGATGCAGCTGCTGGGGGAGAACCATGCAATCGGACCCTAGCGGGCTCCCACCCGTGTCCTCCCTACGGTGTCGAAACGGTAAAAATCTGTTTGTGGGGGGGCAGTTAATAAAGTTCACGTAGGCAGTTGAGCAGGAAGTTCGTTCCACTTGCAGTTGACGTGCGGGGATCCAGCGAAAGTGAAACCGAGGTGCAACCAACCGACGGTGTATATGAAAAGCAAAATGAAAAAGCAGCATAAATGCATAGCAATACACAAAAGAGTGCAAAGCGAAAAACGTGCAAAGCTGTTTTTGGGTTTTCAAAAGGTTTTGCTCTTTTTGGTAGTTTCAAAACGTTTTGGTCTTTTTTGTGGATTTTCAAAAACGTTTAGTAAGAGCAGAAAATTTCTAAGGCACGTTCTACGTAAAATAGTAAGTGCTGACAAAGTCTGAAAAGCGAACTGGAGGCTTGAGTTTCCTACCGCGTCGATTGAGGGTAGGGCGGTTAGGAGTGCTGTCGGTTGTGTTCGTCGGTTCTACTGGAGCGGGCTGACTCGTCTGAGGTTGCGGTGCCAGCTGTGATGGCACAGGCTGTGAAGGTGCTTGTTGCACCGGCGAGTCAGACTTGTCGAAGAATGCTGGCTTGAGTCGATCAATGGCGATCGTCTCAGTGGTGTTGCGTCGTGGCTTGCTTATGTCGGGATCAGCTTGTTGGGCAGCAGCCATGGCAGCTAGATCAATGTTGGTGCCAGGCGATAAGCTGATCTGCTGAATGCGTGAAAGCGCATCCGCGACGGGATTGAGAGCACCTGAGACATGACGTACGTCTGTCGTAAACTGAGAAACGTAGTCTAGGTGTCTAGTTTCCCGCGGCGAGTACTTGTCTGTTGCGCCATTGATTGCGTAGATCAATGGCTTGTGGTCGGTGAAGACGGTGAAATGTCGGCCTTCGAGGTAGTGACGGAAATGTCGGATACCTAGGTAGATAGCTAACAGTTCCCTACCGAAGGTGCTGTAACGCGATTCGGCAGGTTGTAAACGTTTCGAGAAGAAACCTAGAGGTATCCATCGATGGTCGATGAGTTGCTGAAGAACTGCACCGACGGCAGTGTCTGATGCGCCAGTTGTCAGAGAGAGTGATGAAGACGTGTCTAGATGTGCGAGAAGCGCTATGTTGGAGATAGCGTCTTTTAGCTTCTCGAAAGACAATTTAGCGTCGTCTGGAAAGTGAAAAGACCGCTGTTTACCGCGGAGCAAGTCAGTCATTGGTTGAACAATGCTCGCGCAGTTAGGGATAAAGCGTCGATAATAGTTGACCAGGCCAAGGAATCGGCGTAACTGCTTGAAGGAACTGGGAGCAGGGTAGTCCTTCAGTGCCTGGATTTTGTCTGGCAGAGCTTCAATACCAGAGGCAGAAATGCGGTGGCCAAGAAAGTCGATGGAGCTTTGGCCAAGCTCGCATTTATCGGGGTTGACGGTAACCCCATGCTGTGTTAAGCGTTGGAAGAGAGCGTCGAGTTGATGAAGATGTTCTTCATCAGAAGAGCTCGCGATAAGAATGTCATCTAGATAAGGATAAACGCCTTCGAGTCCTCGCGTTACCTCATGAATGAAACGCCGAAAAGTTTGGGCAGCGTTGCTGAGGCCGAAAGGCATTCTGAGGTACTCGAATAGGCCGAATGGCGTAATGACTGCAGTTTTAGCAATGTCGTCTGGCGCCACAGGTATCTGATGGTAGGCGCGAACTAAGTCGACTTTGCTAAAGATAGACTTGCCAGCTAGAGCTGAGGTCAAGTCGTGCATGTGCGGGATAGGGTATTTATCCGGGACGGTAACTTTGTTAAGTGCCCTGTAGTCACCACAAGGGCGCCAGTCACCGGATTTCTTCGGCACCATGTGTAATGGTGATGCCCATGGACTTTTGGACGGGCGGATGATTCCCAGTTCGAGCATTTGCTCGAATTCCGCCTTAGCAGCTTTGAGCTTGTCCGGGGCTAATCGGCGAGGACGGGCCGAAACAGGTGGGCCCTTAGTGCAAATGTAATGCATGACGTTCGACGTCACAGGAGGCAAGTCGTTCAGGACGCGAACGAGTTTAGGGTGCTTGCTGAAAAGTTCTAGAAAAGTCTGTGAAGCTTGAGGTAGGACACGAATGGGAGTGATAGCAGCCACGTTGGCGCTAGTCCCGATAACACTGAGCTGTGTCCTAGAATCGATAAGCTTCTTCCGTTTAGCGTCGACGATGAGGTCGAAGCGTTGAAGAAAGTCTATGCCTATGATGGCGAAAGGCACAGCAGCGATTATGAAAGGCCAGCGAAAGGTTCGCCGGAGGCCTAAATTGAGCGTTAGCAGCTTTTCGCCGAAAGTTGCGATTGGTGTGCCATTGGCGGCACGCAGCTTGGTCGGCGATGGTGAGACGACCTCATCTGAGCTACGGGGTATAACGCTAACTTCTGCACCAGTGTCTACTAGAAACTCGGTGCCGGAAGTTAAATCCCTAACGCGGATGAGGCGACTTTGGTGTTGGCCAGGCGCGTCCGTTGCCGTTACCGACCGGCCGAGGTTTCCGTGCTTCTTGGCGAAGCTGCAAGGTTTGACACATTTACGAGCTGCAGTACCAAAACGCTGGTGGTACCAACAGCTAGCTTGCCTGTTGTTAGAGTTAGAAAGTTTGCAGGGCGATTTTGAGCGGCTATGACGAAGACGGTCCTTAGTAAGCTGCTGGAACTGGCGACTATGTGTCGCGACTTGTGTTTGCAGGGCTTCTATAGTTGACAGTAAGCCAGTGATAGAAGTGCCCTGGGACGCGACGGCATGGACCTTGCTGGCGTCGACTTGTGGCTGTGATCGTTCAATAACTCGATCTGCTAAATCTGCTAGTTGAGTGAGCGAAACGGAGCTCACTGTAGCGAGAATCGCTTGCGTGTTTTCCGGTAGCCGTTGTAGCCATAGTTCGCGAAGTAAAGTCTCATCCATGGTTGAAGAACCAAGGAGTTGCTGCATCTCTCGTAGCAGGGTTGAGGGCAGTTTGTCGCCCAGCTGCAGATCCCTGAAAAGCTGCTGCAGGCGAACTTTCTCAGAGGGCATAACACGCTTAATCGTGGCTTCCTTGAAAGCCTCATAGCGGTTTTCGGTCTGAGAAATGATGACGTCACGAACCTGCATTGATATCTCCTTGGGGAGATAGGACAGGAGCTTGCAGTACTTCGCGTAGTCGGAAGTGATTCTGTGGTTGTAAAACTCAGCCTCCAGATGAGCGAACCACAAAACAGGATCCATGTCCCAAAAAGGTGGAACTGAGAGAGATACAACACTAAGCATAGACTCTACCTTATGGTCTACAGATTCCATGATTTGAAAAAATGACGCGAAAAAATAGGCTACCGTATGCAAAAATAAAACCGGAAAATATGAAAAATAAATGGAACGAGCTCACCGGAGAAAAGTTCGAAATATCCGGCGTTGAGATTGTTCCGGATCCGGGGTCACCAATTTAGAGGGTTGCCTATTCCGGGAGCCCAGAGAGCGATTCGAGAAGACGGATCGAGTTGCAGGGAAACTTTTATTGGTTCAGCAAAAGATTCCCTGTTAGCTAGCTATAAATGAACGACACCGTGGACGCTCTAGCTAGGGGAACGGATCAAGCACAGCACACAGAGCAGTCGCGCGTTGCAACCGAAGCGAGCGCCAAGCAAAAATGGCGATGAGCGAGTAACACATTCGAACTCAGCAAGCAGTTCAACAGACCACACCGGTTGCCTAAGTGTACAATCATAAAATTTTGGTTAGAATTTTACACAGGCAAACCGGGGAATCTCCAGACTGCTACACTATTTAGCTTGCCTATACTCTCATGCTTAGTTCGTTCCCCGTATCGCTTTGGGCTTTGCCAGAGTGGCATTGCAGATCAGTCGGCAGTGTAGCGGAGTCTGCTTGTAATC